CTCTGTCACTTCAGAATTCACAACCTCTTGATTGCTCAACCCCAGACTTTTTAATCATTTGTACATGTTGCAAAGCCTATCTTTTCTCTTTACCTTTTGGGAAAGAGGCAAGTTAATAGGATGGTGTATGTTGGGCTTGGGTGCAACTTGTCAAGCTTTTCATAGATATGTACAAAGCTATATTAACTATTTAAAAATGGTGGTGTACTTACAGTTTGGGTTAGGAGCTGATTAAAATACATTTTGGAAAATGAGCTTGGATCCATGTGACAAAATGGTTGCTAACATGGTCAGTCAGAGAAGTAAAATTCTACTATGCTATAAGCAGCTCTGCTGTCAGTTATGTTGATCAAAATTTCCTTGCTTTTAAAGATTATTCTTGCAATAGATCATTTACTATAAAATAAAATTACATAAAGTACTCTTGTTAAAATGTAAAATCAAAAATATACCTGTAAATATCTTAAGAATTCCAGAACAAAAGATTTATGGTATCACAACATATATATCTACTTATCTATGCAAAAAATATATACAGCTTTTAAAAAATGATCATATTGAATACTCTAAAAGCTTATAAATACTGGATATCAAGGCCTTTATGTTATCAACCATAATCTAGAAATTGTTGCAGGCAAATAATGTTAGGGGGAAAAAGAGAAAAAAGAAGTTAGGAATTTACAAAGAAGCTTATTATTAATATAAAAGTGATAGCTCCCCTGAGTCAGTCTCCTGATCCCTCAGCCATTACTTCAGGACTTAAAGCTAGACAAGGCATGGTGTAGTGTTTTCATAGGTGGTATTCTTTTCTAAGAGCAATGATGCAGGTTTGTCCAGAGAGCCTCTGAACATGTTTGTGTTATAACGTGGTCATGCAGTTTGTTTCTGAATTATACAGACAACCTGATGTTCTGGTCACCCTTGATGTGGGTGGTCTCTCAGGACATTGCACACTGCCCCCTTATAGCAAAAACATGACTGAGACAAAACTAATTTTTAAACATATTTGGGTTGATTGAGGGATGGAAAACATCAAAGGACAGGAAACCTCAGCACAAAGCCAGTCTTTGTCCATATCTGTGCTAACTGTGGAAGAATTCACACCAAATACATTGTCACGAATGGCTGAAAATATACAAAATTCAATTTAACATAGTGCATTAAAGACCATTGCTGTCAGACAGTAAAATAATTTATCTAGGAAGGAATCTAAATAGTAAACAGAACTCAGAGTGATGTAATGTGAATAACTGCTGTTTTATGTGCCATAGCAGGATTTGTATGCCTGTGGTTTAGAGCGGAGCATTTGCACCAGTATATTTAGTACTATGGTGATTCTGCTCTCTTTCACACAGGTTTTCATACTTTATGCATCCTAGTTTATTTCAGCGGAATAACTCCTGATTCTCTGTTGTGAGTGAGAGAAGAACCAGGCTCTGTTTTTAGACTTTTGTTATTAAAAACCTGAGTGTGGGATTGTAACATGGCTATATGAAAGGTTAAGGATGGTGCCAGGGGAAATGCTGTAGAGTGGGACTCAGATGCATTTAATTTGATCTGTGCCTCAGACTGGATTTTGTGATAATTATACAGATGGCATGATGCTGTGATGTTTTCTGCTTGTCAGAAGTTGACTAGTGCTAGCTGTTCAGCCTTCAATGGCAGGCAGAGGCCAAATAGATCTGTAAGCCCTTGTCATGTACCACACAATGCTGTTATGCACAAGCGGACTTCATGGTCAGGCTCATCCTTTGTTAACAGAGCAAAACAGATTTGGATACCTCCCAAACATCTGAAAAATGGAGGGGAATTTTTAGGCATTAGCTTGGGTGATTGGCCATTGTTTCACTTCATGTGGC